CAGTGTTACGCAAGTTTCGAGTTTCTGGTTTTTTGAACTTATCAAATATGTCATCAAGAAATTTAGGGTTAGGACCATGTACTATTTTGTACATAAAGTTGTTTATAAACTATTCTCTTCTAGTGTCAAGAGATGGCCATTGAAGTAGCGTTAGTACTTTATCTGTGCTGCTCCCGTGAATACAACCTGAGCAGTAGATAGCAGCTTTATAATATAATCTATCGAGCCTTTGAAGTAGATATTTGGAAGAACTATTGTAAATGATGGTACCATAATCAAAATGGGGCAATATGAAGGAGTTGAAGATTGTCTCCAAATGACTAGATCCTATTTTGTTTTTGAGTTTTTTAAATGGATTCAACATTTTTGTTACCTTATCATAGATGTTACTTATATGGTGCTTGTGTGTTAAGCAGGGATCAAACGTGAAACCGAGGTGTTTATGGGAATCAGCTCTAACTATTTCCATATTATTAAGATTAGATGGACTGATATCATTAATACGTGTTCTAGGTTTATGAAATATCAGTTCATGACTTTTTCTGGTTTAAACTGTAGTTTCCAAGTAGTTGACCATTGTTCAATGCCTTCTAGGCTTGACTTAACAGAATCATCAACATTAGTGGGGTCTTTTGGATCAAGTTTAAAATGTAAAGAGGTATCATCAGCATAGATGTAGCATTGGCCATCCAGGTTGTCAGGAATATCATTAATGTACAAGATAAATAGAATAGGCCCTAGAATAGACCCCTGTGGGACGCCACAGTTAATAAAATTAGTATCAGAAAGTTTTGAAGATTCGCCAACTACATTAACAAAGAATTTTCTGTCATTCAGATAGGATTTGAGTACATTGAGCAGTTGGCCTTGGATACCGTAAGATTTAAGTTTAAGCAATAGAAGATTATGTGGTACGCAATCAAAAGCGGCCGAAATATCAAGGAATATTGATTTAGAGGCTTTGCCTTCCTCGAAAGTGCATTGCAGGTAGTGCTCAATAGCTAAAAGTTGAGAGTGTGTACTGTGGCCAGGCAGGAAACCAGATTGATGTTTAAAAAGTAAATCATTTTGTATAAGATGTTTTTTAATTCGATCAGCAAGAACTTTTTCAAAGAGCTTTGATAGAGTATTTAGGAGCATAATTGGTCTATAATTTTTTATATTTGTCTTATCATCTTTTTTAAAAATTGGACAGACACTACCAATTTTCCATGTTTCCGGGAAAATATTTTTTGTCAAAAGCTTATTGAATAATTTAGAGAGTGGTTTTGAAAGTGTATGGGCTGTTAAGTTTAACATTTTATTGGTTATGTTATCAGGACCGCATGTTTTTGAAGTATCTAGGTTAAGTATAAGTTTCATTATCTCATATTGGTTGGTAATTGCAGATATAATGAAGGAATTTGTTCTCGATGGAAAGTTTGGTAGTGTGTCGTTGTTGTTGATCTCCATGTGATTTTTACCAGAAAAATATTTCATAAAAGAATTGGCTATGTCCAGGTTTTTATTAATTGGGATACCAGTTCTGTCATCTATAATGCATGCTATTTCTGATTTCTTAAAATTGTTTCCAAGGAAAGATCTAATAATTTTCCAGTAATTCTTATCATTCTTGGTCATATTATCAATAGATTTGATTAGATTTTGGTCATGGTCAAGTTTGGTTTTTTTAATTAAATTTGTAACTTTTGTTGCTTGCTGATCATAAAGTATTTTATTTTGATAAGTAGGATGTTTTTTCATTGAATTGAAGAGCTTTTTTTCTTTTTCATTTCCAATTGAAGAAAGTTATTAAACCAGGGTTGGTCATTGTATTTAGGTTTGATGATGTATGTGTTTTTTGTAAATGGACATTAGTTTATCAACAAAATTTGTGGTTACTGTATTCATATCTAGGTCACCATCTATGATAGTCATCCAGTTAAAGTTTCTGATTTCAGAGTTTAATTGTTCAATATTCTAAATTATAAATATTCTAAAATTGAAACAATTTATTTGTTTGCCTGCCTGCCCGCTAAATCTAGATCTGATTCTCTCTTTAATTTTCTATTTTATTTATCGTTTTAAGTTGTATCTTATCTAGTATTATTTAACCTGTTGTTTCCTACTTATTTCCATTTATTTTTTCCTATTTCGCCTATTGTTTCCAATTACTTAATTATTTGAGTTTAGCTCGATTTCAAATAGAATATTATGCTTCAGCTTTCAATCTGTAATAGTTCGCAAATATAGTGAAGCTCAAACACTCGATATTGATTGTTCAAAGAACGGTCAATAATTTTAACTGTTCAACAAGCAAAACAAATGTTGTTGCCGATTCGATTTAATGTGACATCAAAATAACGAAATCCGTACCAAAAATCGACGGATTCTCCTATATAAATGCTCAATTAAGTTATTGAAGGAGTTCTTTTATATCTTTCTGACTACCAAAGCAATTATAGACTACTTCATTAATTTGACTGTCAAAGTGATATCCCCACTGAAATGCTGAACCTTAAACGTAAGACATTCATCTGACCATGGACCTGTATCACCAAGGACCTCTATCCCCTTTGACTGTCAAAGTGATATCCCCACTGAAATGCTGAACCTTAAACGTAAGACATTCATCTGACCATGGACCTGTAACCCCAAGGAGCTCTATCCCCTTTGACTGTCAAAGTGATATCCCCACTGAAATGCTGAACCTTAAACGTAAGACATTCATCTGACCATGGACCTGTATCCCCAAGGACCTCTATCCCCTTTGACTGTCAAAGTGATATCCCCACTGAAATGCTAAACCTTAAACGTAAGACATTCATACCATGGACCTGTATCCCCAAGGACCTGTATCCCCTTTGACTGTCAAAGTGATATCCCCACTGAAATGCTGAACCTTAAACGTAAGACATTCATCTGACCATGGACCTGTAACCCCAAGGAGCTCTACCCCCCCCCCCCCCCCATTATATTTCTAAACATGACAAACACCTATATTTTACCCAGTCTCTATTCTCTGATCATATAGTACATTCCAGCCAGAGGTATTGCAAAATTACTGCCTTTTATATTCGGGTTTATTTCCGTTCAAAGTTGACTGACTTCACTGTCAGAATTACTTTAATCAAGGTTTATTTTGCTTAATGGAAAATAGAGTAGTATATGATTATTCAAGAAAGTAATGTATAATTATTAATTACTAAGAGAGTTTAATATCAACACGACTGAATCTGTTTCTTTTTTTCCCCAGTTCTCGTTAACTTTCAATAAGACGGATCTGTATTGTCAATCCCGTGTAGTGTGAAATACATGTACATGGTAAAGCTTATATAATCATAAAACACTATAAAACACTATATTTCAATGTACCATTGTTTTGAAATTACATAAGATTATCAAATGATATAAGCTTATACATATTTCTTACTGTAAGTTTGAGTGATTTTTCTTCAAAGGTACACTTATTAATTCCGGGGGAATAAATGACAAGAATTTCATGTACACATCTTTTATATTTCCGAATTTATTGACACTTTAGTTCTACATTAGAGAATGACTACTAACCCTACTATCACACCAAACTAGTTCTCACTACGTTCTCAAAAACGGGCTTCAACTGTGTACGAACGGACTGGACCTACTAAGAACCGTTTGGGAACTATTAACAAACTTTATCGAACGTACTCGAACGGGTAGGTCCTCTAGAACTTAGACAATGCTCAAAATGTTCTCGTGGTCGTCACGTTCTACAATTAGAACGAGTGACAACGTACTAACGACGAGCTGGACGTACTACGAACGGAACCGTCGTACTTCAATCCTACTAGGGACGTTTTAACAACGAGTTGAATTGTCTGAGGACGTGTTGAGAACGAGATAGAACTAATTGCAAACGGGTTTAAACTGATTGAGAACGTATTTAACACTGCTTATGAACGAGTTAGCAAAAATATAGCTATCACACCAAACAAGTTGCCACTGCGTTCTTCAAAACTGTGTGCGAACGGAATGGACGTAGCTACAACTTTCTAAGGTCTATTTACGAACTTTATGATCGTTCTCAGACAGGAATGTGATTTTAGAATTTTGAATCGATTCAAAATTCGATGGCGACCATAACGTTCTGTAATAAGGTCATGTTGACCTTCTAGACTAAGGGACGCGTTCCACTACGTTGCACACCGACGTGGTGCGACCTGAACGAACTGCGAACGAGAAGGACGTATTGAAGACTATTTAAGAACGAAGAAGCTAATTATTTCAGACATATTTCCCGACCACAGCCAGATTGAGCCCGTTTTACGACGTTTTCGTAGGACTGGCAAGAACGGGTAAGAACGAGTTTGGTGTGATAGGGGGGTTAGGTATTAAAAAGTTATTCTTAACCCCCACTCCAAATCTACTTCACCAACACAATACTTGTGTAGTTAGGGGGGAGGCACAATGGTTTGTAGTTTAACAAGATTATTAGTATACTGAAGATAAATATTGAAAGAATGTTAATGCTGATAGTAATCACATGGGCTTTCAACTAAGGTAGAAGCGCAGGAAGTATGTTAGACAAAAGAAGTTTACAGAATCACAAGCTGTACACAGGGTATGATTAATGTCAAAATGACAAAAAAATATCAAGCCTTATCTAACAGATCGCACGATGTAAGTAAAGATACGTTTATTCAAGTCAGCTCTTGTATTACTATTTATATTTGGAATTCAACGAATTCAATTATGTCAATCCAACAATCATATAAAGAATATTAATGTGCCATGATACGTTTTCCCAATCATGTACTTATCTAAGGGGCTTGGGAAATGTGGAATACATCAAATGTGGTAAAAAAACGACATATGATATTTTGTTACGAAGCCCCTCACCCTGTCCCCCCCCCCCTCCCACACACTTGGTAGACTCAGGTGACGTTAACATAAGCCAACACGGGTCCATTGTAAACATTGCTCAGCGTCATCCTAGTACCTAAGATAAGATAAAACAGTGCAGTGACTTAGATACCTACCCTTTGATCAGTATCAGAGGCATATTTCTTTTGAGTATCACTAGCGAAGACGGGTATCATTTTACTCCACTGACCATTCTCTAGGAGCACTGTTGTATGAATCAGGAGGCATGGGTACCTTGAGGCACATGACGTCACACAGTTCATTGTGGCGTCACAGAAGTACGTCATTGTGTAGACCGATGACGCGATTGTACAGTTTGTGTGCAGGTAGGACATCAAGGTCAAGTGCGGATGTGCATATTCTAAACACATAATGATTAAGATCCCTAGTGATATACCAGTTAGTATGAAAAACAAACACGCGATGTATGATGTCTTAAAGTTTGAGCATCCCTTCATGTGTATGCATGAACTTATCAATCCCACGTCATAATTGTAAATCAATCAATCTTGCATCGACGTTATTCACTAATCCATTTTAGGAATCGATCGTTCATAACTGTGGACAAATGAATCCAATCTTTCAAACATTCGTTCATTTAACTCTCAGAATCTATGAATGTTTTGTACATCAGATATGTAATTTCAACGTTTGCAACAGCTTTATTGAATTACTAATTACTTCATTTCTTGTGTTGCGAGGATATCCAATATTGTCAAATCAGCTAATTACTAAGCCATTCCCTATTGCTTTAACATACAAACAATAGTTAAACATTGCCCTTGTGATTCCTAACATAAAACTATATTATATTATATTCACCATTAATAATAACACCTGCATTCTGTCATACATATTTAACAATGATTGTTGCAACAGCAGCATTATTAATACTGTAAAACTTCACTCTGGAGATTATAATTGTAGATATCTGCCCTTTATATGCAAAATGCTTCAATCCTCGTTGAATCATGGACGTATATTATCTGGGTTGATATAGGCCCATGGTTGAATGTATTAGTTTCCATAAATCCACCTCATATGAGAATAAGCCTTAATCATACGTGGAATGCATTTTATGATGTGTTCCATTCCGTGGTCGTGCTGTTAATAGCTTAGCGAAAATGATGTATTAAAGAATATTGCTTCGATTTAATTGTTAACAGAATTAATTGGTCCTCGGCATCAGTTTTCTGATATGCTTACGAGGCTTTATAGCCATTACCTCGAGGAGTACAAAGATTCATCCATGTGATTTCTAATGTCGATGCTGTGATAAGTCTCAATTCTGTGAAATGTCTTCATGAATCAAAATGAACTACAAGTATCTGATGCACTCTTGCAATCGAACTGGTCTGCATGTTTTGCTTTCACTCGTTGCAGTCGCCAATATACCATGTAACAAATCTATAAAGTATAGTATGTTGCAATCCTCAGGGGCAACTTGTATCACAACTGGCTAGCTACAGTGAAACCAAAAAATGTGAACAGTCATCACTATAAAGTTAAAGTGTGACTGAAATATTGTCACTGGGTTTACAACATTCAAATTGCAGGGGGTGGAGTATTTTTTATAGAGTGCAACGGGATATACATTATATCTAGTACTACATATAAGCTTACAACGACTATTCTGCTTTTTCTTGAATCCTAATTTATTTATATTTGCATTGTACTTGATCACGCGATACTAACTTTGACTATTAATTTGATTTTTTTACAGCACCGTTTTTCTTCAAACTTGTCCCTTTCAAATAAAAAATGCCTTTCTGTCGGTGCCAACAGAAACAGATTTTCAAACATCTGGTAGGTCAAATACCGGTATCCAAATTAACTGTCGAAGTTAGTACCGCGTGTTGATAAGCTTTTCAATGTATTTTAAATGTAGGCACTACTACAGCCGCCATTTTGTTTTTCACAAAATACTTGAATCTTGTTAAAATTTTCATTTCACTGTTTTGCATGTAGACATAGCTGTCCAGTCGTACAGTCTTTTCTTTGTAGTGATCGTAAATGAAGGCATGTGTACCTCTGAATGATCCAGTGTAAGTTATTTGTAAAATAGCTATAATAGATATATAAAGTATGCAACGGTTATTAAACAACCAGCTGCTTGCATAATGTACAATAAAATGTTCATTGTTGATTCCAAAGAACCAATTACAAGATCAAATTAAATCTGCTTTTTATTCTCAACGTCTAAACGTCTTCCAACGTACGTTCATCCAATCATTGTATACAGCAGGCTCCTGAATTTATTCAATGGTTTGGCTTTGGGTTGACTTCATAGTATCTATGCATCCAAATAGCAAGATCCATCAATACGGGAAAACATTGTAGAAAAGTGAATATTGATAAAGTAGAAATCAATCTATTGGATATCTTATCTACCCAGTAGTCTTTTGTTTGGGATTTATTTTGATTACATTCCAATTGGTCAAATGAGTGACCTTGAAAAACAAGCAAGTGTTCAGTATCGACAGCTTAGAAAAACTAAATGGATGACTGTCAATTTGTAACATTTCCACTCACCGATGAACTAGGAACAGTATTAGCCCATTTCTGCCCAGGTAAGAAAAATACTACAAAAGGTTTATAGATTGACTACCAAATGAAATTATTTAAAATGTATCAAGAAAATCACAGCTGTCATAGAGTATTTCCTATTGTACTCTCCAAATATACGCCAGGCGTTTCCACCCCCTGATTTGGAGAGGTGAGTTTTAAACAATTGCTGGCACAAATCATGGTAATTTGTACTGTGGATATTGGTACTTTGGAATCGCTTCAAATTGATGACCATCAATGCATGCAAATACAAGTAAAAGATAAACAATGAACCTTGGATATTATGTGAAATGATAGCCAATGGCCGACAGCGAAAGCGAAATGTATATCTAAATTAAACCTCACACTGATTCTTATGAAAGTGAAATGGCCCATGATCCAATCCGGAAAAATTGATTGCTTTTGTATTGACAATTCAACTGAATGAATTGTGGGTTGCTATATGTAAGTGAGTGAGTGAGCTAGTGCGCTACAATTAATTCAGCTAAGTGTAAACATTGAGCAATTTGCCTTTTGTGCCACACTGGTTTTGAATATTTTGCCAAGTATGCATTCTTTAAAAAGAATTAATAAAATAATGCACTCCTCTTTGTTACAGCTGGATATTCTGTGAAGTAAATCTCGGCTCATTCTATTGTGTTGCCACCTAAGTGAGGTTTAACTGTTTATAATGGACCTTTAGGGTTGGTACTCTTAACAAGAATGCTAAGTAATTAGTACGTGTAGTCATTCATAATATACTCATTACCATACTGCATAAATGGCGATTAATAGATTCCCGAGGTTGATATTAATTGTTTCCTACTCTTCCAAATCACAAAAGATTGATTGGCATTGCCGATATTTCCCAGTGGTTTTCAAATCAGTTATATAAATATAGTTTGAAAATTCATCGATATTTTTATATCCTAAGTTTACACCCAGAAATATCCCGATAACAAATTGTTATCGTTCTTGTCAATGGATTTCCAGGAGATCAGTGTTCTAATTTATGTGTAACGGATGCCGACGTTATGGCGTTTATCTCTTACGTTAATGAAAGTCATAGATACACGTTAATCCCTCTTAATAGCAATATCAGAATAGATTAGGTATTACGATAGTTAAGCATAAGAATATCTCTCTATGCTATCATATTGTGATGAATCGTGTTAGTATGCATGTTACATCGAAATCGTCAAGTTTCATCTGTAATCAGGGACGGATATGAAAATCAAGAGGAAATGGGCCAAAAAATGTCCGCGGAAAAATGCTGACCACAAAATCTGAAAATTCGGCTCAAGTATGCTAAAAAATAAATAATAATGCACAGCAATGCCAGTTTATTACCTAATGCGGGGCACCAATTTTTGGGAAGGGCAGGCCCCTGCCTCCCCTGCCCCCAAGATCTGCCAATGGTAATAATAGGAAAAACTTCTACTTTTCTTTGAAATCTGCTAATTCCGTTTACTCTAACTCATCCAGTAGTTACGTAAACAAACAGATTCATCATCTTAGAAACGGAAACCAAAGATGCACTATTATCACTTAGCTTTAAACAGCTGATAAAAAACCATTTGCATAATAACATTACCTTCATGTTGACAAATATTTTTGTTTACATAAACGCAGAAAATGTAAAATATTCTCCAGAACCCCCTGTTTAATTGTACCTTTTAGTGATGACACCATCAAACGGTTGAATCAACTATTCAATTCTAGCGTGGAGGAACAAATTATTTCGTGAATTATTGATGGTCCTTAAGCTTCCTAAGGTTTATTGCAAATACCATTTTCACAATTTTTCTGCCATTGTTATATTTGAGAACGAATCCAAATTAATCAATTGATCAACGATTTTTGCGGAATAGAGTACGATCATTCTGATTTATCAGAGTCTCTCTTTACCTAACGCTTTTGAGAGAGGATAGTAAAGGCTGTGGATCCCACAATGGAGTACGATAGCAAAAATTCATTCAATTCATTAGGTATTCTTTGTTAATTTCCGGCCAATCAGAACACAGTATGGCCATTCTATATTAAAAGATTTAAGTCCAGGACTCAATGCATTGTAGGATGCTTTAACAATGAATGTGTTTCTATGAATGTTCATCTCTCTGGTAGTAATGTACAAAAGTACAAAATTGAATGTGTTGTTTCCAGACCTTTGAATGAGTGCGGCATATTTCATGAGATGGACAAGACATCAACATGATAAAATGTCAGAACTTTAGTTATTGCAAATTGTTACAGACGCCTAACATCGTCCACAAAAAATTGGAGACTGTAACAATATGTCACGACACCACTTCTGGTGGTGACATAATAAACCACGGAGTCTTGTTTATCATTTCCAGGGTTATCTTTGTTTTGATTATTTCCCCGTGTTGTATAACCTTTAATTTCCTTGGCGCACAAGTCGCTGTACTTGTATGTTGAATAATATACACCACCTACCGTCGACTTGTCTGATAGTACATTCTCATTTATATAAGAAGTTATAATGAATAATTAAATGATTGAGTCAAATACAGAAAATATTGCGCCATGGAAAGTCTTATTTCACACCATGGCCATGGGCAAGTCAGATTGCAAAATGTCACCATTATAGTGAGTATAGACCAGTGATATTTTGATGTCATTTGGATATTGAAATGTCATTTCGGTCATTAACAGCATCAAAATCAATTGAGTGCAATATAACACATAACACACCGTGATAATAAGCCCTTTAATCTACCCTTGTTACGTGGAGAGTCATGATGAATTACAAATAAACTCCGACGGAACAAATGAAATGAATTATCAACCAGGAACGGAAAACTAGCTTGAATTTCTGAGTGGGTTGCAAATTGATCTTGCTAGTTAAGGTAGGCCAGGGAGTATAAGTTATATTGCTAGTTAAGGTAGGCCAGGGAGTATAAGTAATCTTGCTAGTTAAGGTAGGCCAGGGATTATAAGTAATCTTGCTAGTTAAGGTAGGCCAGGGATTATAAGTAATCTTGCTAGTTAAGGTAGGCCAGGGAGTATAAATAATCTTGCTAGTTAAGGTAGGCCAGGGAGTATAAGTAATCTTGCTAGTTAAG